ATTTGAATATATTTGATGATATAAAAAAAAATTGGTCATTTAAAAATCAAAAGTTGATACTTATTAATTTTTCGTGTAAAGTAGCTTAACGATTATTAATAAAATAATATTTATTAGATAAGATATTTTATGAGGCATACTTCTGGAATCTTGAATATAAATATATATGTGTGTATATTTTTATTTATTAAGTAAACTCTGAAAGTACACTCAAAATAGTTTTATAAGATAACAACAAAATTACTAACAATGAAAAGAAAAATATATATTACATAAAATAGTTATTGTGTTATATTTTTTCCTTAAATTGTTTATGAATCAATAATTATTAGTTAATTACAAGTAAGAGAAAAGTTGTATGTAGCCCGCGATCTGGTTTTTCTTCGGGTCAAAAAATTGTGCGTAATCTGTGCTCCAGTTTTTCTATTGATAAAAATAGGTGTACGAAATCTACGTATGAATAATTTTTTTTCTGCTAGTTCTGTGAATAGCGCAGAATAATATTACCCGATCTATAGAAAAACTGTAACGCGCATTTTTTATCTTACAGAAAAATCGGAGTGCAGTTAACAAGTAAAAAAGTAAATTGAACGCAGTTTACAATCGCCGGATAGTTATTATTTGAGATACAATACTTATATATATAATAAAAATTAAAATTTTTCAATATTTAAAATTAATAGTATGAAGAATATTAGAATGAATCATTTATTTCTGAATATTTTAGTTATAGTATTTTTATGTTTTATTTATAATTAAACTGTATTCATTTGACATAGATAATTCTAGACTCCTCATAAAAATCCACAATTGATCAACTGTATGATTTTTTTTAGGAGGATACATAAATGTATTATCCATATTTAATCTATCTCCGACAGTTTTGTATATTTGCCAAAGATAATTACTACTCAGATCTTCATACGAATTAGTAATCTTATCATTAGTAGGATTATCTTGGAACCATATTTTAACTAGTCGGGCCATGATATTAAAAAATATTAAGCAAAAGGTAGTTGCATTCGTTTTATCTTTTTTAGAAATTAAATTTGATATAAATTGNTCTATTTTAAAAATTAAATTTGATAGAAATCTCAAAGAACTTATAGGTGTATAGTTTCTGTCCATGAATTCATTAACGTAAATTGTAACCATCATTAAAATGGTTTGTACCGTATAAGGCGCTTCTGGATTTTGATCTTTAAAAACAATCAACAGCCCATAATAAGAAATTAAAAATAAATACTTTATAGATCTAGACTTCACCAAAGCATCATAATTTTCTTTGTTTAATAAATCATACATCGGTTGCAAAATTATGACCTCGTCATTTTGTCGGATACAAAAGATATCATTTTCGATATATGGCCAATACTCATCTAAGCAATTAATTTCTTGTGACGTATACACTATTACTGTAAAAACAACGCACCAGAACATTCTCATTTTAAATTTTATTCTTGTACTTATTTGAACAATTTAAAAATTCTTAACTTATTATAATAATGAAATTAATTTAAATGTAATCGATTTTATAGTTTTATAGAACATTTTCAACGATTTACAAAAAGATTCACTTATAAACGAATTAATCGAAAAATAAAAATTAATGTGTTTTTTTATTTGGACAAATTTCTTTTGCAAACAATAATAAATAACTCGGTAAATGTAAAGCATAATTTTTCGCATAAAAATATGGATTATTACTTATATTTAAACATATAAAAAAAAACTATTTAAATATATTTATTGAAATATTTAAGTTTCTCATTTTTAAAGAAATAATTTTAATTTTGTTTTTTCATACAAAATATGTTCAACAATAATTTTTAAGTGTACCTGTGACCATTTATCGATCATTTTTATTGCCGTTTATAGAAATCACAATACAACATGGCCTCCCCCGTTAGCTGGACTCAAAAGACGGGTCCGTTGCCCGAGCTACTCTACGTGAAGGTGGGGGCAGGACTTTGCGAAAATCGGGGCTTAATAACTCACAATAAAACATGTAAACACATAAAAAAACCCTAAGGAGCCAGTCTAAACCAGCGCCTCAAGTCCTCCTGTGTCAGGTGGCGGGTTTTCCTTTGTCGCTAAATTAAAAAATAGTTGAAATTTTTTTTAAACTAATTAGTTTAAAAAAGTTTATTACATTTAAAATTAATTTTTCGGATAAAATCTCTTAAAATCATTTTTTATTGGTCGGTGTTGCAAGGGAAAGCTAAGAATCGATTTTTAACTGTTAAAACTGAATAGGAAGAAACTATTAATGATAGTTTTGTACATTTTGTAGTTAGTTGTACTGTTTTATCTTTATAATTAGTGAATTAAAAAAAATCAGTTAAAAATCACGTACATTTTTGTAAAAATTCAGAAAATTATATTTATTATAAATATAATAATTAGAATAGGGAAAATTCGATTTTTTTTTAATTAAACAACGTACACAGCGTATAAAAGCATACAATTTTGTAAAAAATTTTGAATTTAGTTTAACTGTTACTTTAACTAATTAACTGAACAAAAAACTAAGTTATTTCAACGTAAAATTAAATTAGGTAAGTTAAAAAAATTATCAGAAAAATAATTAACTAGTTAAGTTGATAAGTTAAAAAAAATTAACTTTTTAACTAGTTAATGCCCACCATTGGTATGAGGACTGTTCTATGTATAAAAATGATGTGAAAGATCTTACCATTAGGCAAGGGAGAAAAACAAGTGGAAGAATGTTTAATCAACACAAATAGTGTATTTTTATTATTATCAAATAATATTTATCAATAAGTAGAACCTGGTCACAACAATCAAAATTAGTTATTACCACAATTGTTTATTGTTAACAAAATTGTAATGCTGCAATATAAAAATTTTTTTTTTTTTTAAATATTCAAATGATACCACAAAGTTGAAAGAATTGGCAGTTGTTGATACAAAACATAAAATTTTGTTATATTGCGATATATAATACTTTTATTACACTTGTGGGTGTTGAAGGTATTATCACGGGAGGTAAATACATAATTCCCCACCATTTGATGACAATACAAAACATTTTGTGATAGACGTGAAAATAGCCTCTCATTGTTTGTACTCCTGCTACGATTTATACAAGAAAATCGAAATAGGTTAGAGATATTTCCCGATTTGGGATTTGAAATTCTCTATAGAGCATATACCCTATGGTATTTTTACGAAAATAACATAGATTTTATTCAATATCATTATATATTTATTATTGGTAGTTAAAATTTCAAATGAAAACTGAAACCTATAATATATATATATATATATACAATCGATTATACATCGTTCACGCCTTTCATACTGAGTATTTACCCTCAATCCAGCGTTTATAAAATATAAAGCAACCTGTGGATTGTGAGTGCATAGATTTAGTAATAAGAAATAGTAGTTTTTCGACATAAATCATAAACTTCTGCGGTGACGGGCAATTCTAAAAAGCGTCCGACTACAGTAATAATAGTGATCATTTTAATAAGTACTCAACGCATTCATACACTTTTAAGACTGTACGAACATGATAGAAGGATTCATTACAAACGAGATACGTATATTATAATACTCGTCGAGTGTATTTACAACCGTTGACGTCTGATTACCATATAAGCACCAATATTGGTAACATCCAACCGCCCTGTGCTTGTATATTAATATCCTCGTATTTCCCTCCCCTTATGACTTATGTGTCAGTATCATACACGAGGCACGAGAAACACGTCCAAAATCGATTTCTGTATTATTTTCCGATAAGATTAAAGCACACAAGTCAAAATCTATGAAGTCTACTATTAATCATGTCCAATGGATTTCTGATCATGATCCGATCACATTTATAATACTAATAATTCAACGGATTGGCACGACGACTGTCGTACAGTGCGAGTGGACATTAAAATATTAATAATAATAAAACACATAGTAATCATATTGTTATAAAAAATCTGAGATTGAATAGTCCGGAAGCAAATATATAGGCGCCAGGCCGCCAACGACGATAAACAGCGAGACACGCTGTAGGTGGTAAGAAAGCTGGACAGATTCGATTTTTCATGGTAAAACACTAATCGACTGCTCTCATATTTACAAGAAAATACATTGACAAATTTGTGATAGTAACATCAAAGAATTTCTAAATTTAATTCAATGCTGAAGTTAATTTTCGATATCAATTGTATGCAGACAAAATGTCGAAAAATAAAGTCCATTTACGTTTATGTAAATGGCTATTTTTCACTGTCAAAATTATGACGTGATGAAAGATAGCCAATTTTTTTTAAACGAAAACGGTCGAAAAGGTCGCTATGGTCTTATTTATATACTTCTATAACTTTGATCTTGGTGGTCCAGAACGTAAATTGTATCCCAAGAAAAATAATATAAACGCTTAAAATTGACGAAATTAAAAAAAAACATAAGCGGCATTAAGCTCGAGGAAACTTGGCTCTCAGAATGATAATTTATTTGTATTTTTATTATTAGTTAGCCGTCTGGAATCATTATAACTTATTAGATTATTCTTAATCCCTAAAAATATTACCAAATATCCGCTATGAAAAGAAATTACAAACACTCCTAAAAATGTTAATGTCATAATGCGTAAGAGATTGATTAAAATATAATAAAATATTCTCATATTTAATTATAGAATAAAAACGTTTCTTATTTTGAAGAAATTAAACTCCTTAATCTGATCTATTACCATATCTCCTAGTAAATATAAAATACAAGATAAATGAAAAAGCTTTCATACCAAATGTTGAAGTATATTATGATGACAAATAAGATGTATATTAGTGCTATAAATATGAGCTAAATATTTTTTCTAAATCAAAGAAACAAGCAAAAATTATAGCAATAGTCATAAAAAAAAAAAATCATGAATAATATCAAAAAATAATTTTATGCAATGAAAACAATTATTATTGTTTTCATTTTTATATTATATATTTATAATATAAAAAAAAAGAAAATCAATAACATAAAAAAAAATAATTGTGTAATTGTTTATTGTTTTTTTTATAATTAATATTTTAAATAGTTGATGAATTATACAGAATCACATATAACTTAAATAGTATAACGTTAATTTGAAGAAAATTTACTCTTAATTTTGATAATATTTTACATAATAGAAATAAAAGTTATAATACATTTGAATAATATTTAAAATAAAACATACATTTGATAACAGTTTAATAGGAAGTAATATAATAGTCTAGAGAGCATTAATAATTTATAAGTGAAATATTTATATCTAAAATCTTATAACAGATTGACCATACCGAAGCTAACTAATGAACCAGTAGCAATACCAACACCTAGAAATGTAACCATTATGGAGCTGGCTACTTCTTGTTCATGCTTTTCAACAAACCTGTAATAAAAATATGATATTAGAGAGTTTAGCTTATTGATACATTAAGTAAATGATTACTTAGGAATTGACGTCATAGTAATAGTTGATATGACTCCATTAGTCAAACCAAAAAGGATAATAATTATTGCATATACATAGTCACTGTGTATTAAAGCATCACTGTGATGGCGCGGTTTGGCATTACAAAACAAAAGTAATGGTATAAAGGCTGTTCTCAAAAGTGATATAACTAAAGATGGCCAAACTACATTATCCATCTGAAATTTTTTTTTTTTTTAACATTAAAAGGATTAAAATTTTATAACTAATTTTGCTTGAAAATATGTTTTACCAATTTAATATAATGTGGTAAAAGTCTTCCAACAAAATCCATTGCACTGAAGAGTAAGTAAGCCATCACAGGTACAAAGTATTTATCTGTAAACACACTTTATAATTTAAGCATACTTAAAGAAAATAAAAAAAAAAATTTAATTTTAAATAAACATTGACACATTTACTATTGAGAAGAAATGCTTTATTGTATAATTCTGTAAAGAAAGATATTCTTAAAAACAATAATGAATTTTAAAATAGAAAACTATGTTACTATTTTAAAAATTTACAAATAAATCAAATAATAGTATTTACCTGTCCAAGAATTATGTATATTTTCACTTGAAGATATCAATACTGTTACTGCTGGATAAACGGACATAGTGACAACGTAACAATACCAATTGCTTAAGCCTAATTTCCATATCTGTAATAAATAATTAAAAATCATTACTAATATTCATTAATTATTTGGTAATACAAGTGTCTGGCAAAAAAAATTAATTTAGCAAATATTATTTTATGTACCATGCTAAATGGAACTGGAGATAACAGATTTACATACTTATACTAACATTTATTTACAAGATTATACATATAAAATAAATAATAATTTACTTACTTTCTTTAATATAAAAATACTGTCAACAGGTGTATCTGAATCTGATTCAATTGCTGTATACTGAATGGAGGATGTATGTCTAATCCAAGAACTAGCAGACATATCATGAACATAATATTTATAAACATCCTAAAAATTGTAATTATAAACTATTAGTTATAAATATAAATATGTTTATTTTAGTACATATTTTAGGTTATATATATATATGCTAACTTAATACATTTTTACAAAAAAAAAAAAAACTAACAAAAATTTAAGTAAAACTATTCCTATTAAAATCTTACCAATTTAACTAAAACTGTGTACAAAACTAATGATAACAATATAAATATATCTGCAAATAAAAAATATACAAATGCACTATGAACAGAAGAAGCACCCCACCACAAGGCCAATATTTGAGCTATAGCAGCAAAAACACCACCAAGAGCTTGGCCACTTATAGTTGCAGTCATATAACTACTTTCAAAAAAACTAGCCAGTCCATATACAGCTCCTTGCATTATAGCACTTCCAACTAAAATTTATTAAGTAATATTTATTTTTATATACAAAATAAAAGTACATGTACTTACTATTAAGAAGAACTACAACTCCGATTGTCATTAAAAAAAATAAAACTTGCCAAGAATCAGTGTTTATATTAACAAATACTGTTGTGAATGCAAACAGGAAAAGCATAAATAAAAGTGAACTTATCATCCGTAGTTGAATAGAAATTCTATGAAGAAAAATGAAACTCCAAATTAATTTTAATATTAATATATATATTCTATAACATGTAATGAAAAAAATATAATTGTGATATGTAATTGAAACTATAAATTAATATCGTATAACTTTATAAATTACTAAGAATTAAAAGAAACTAGATAAAATATTGATACCATAATTCTTTAAGCTTCTTATATTATACATTATGTAATTAATTATTTATTATATTTTATAAATAAAAATAAAATATAAAATATTTTTATTTTTAGAATATGGCCCAAATGAAAAACATATCTAACTTTATATATAAAAAATAATGTCAACTTTTTATTTATTGCGCATTATTTACAAAAAAAAAATATTCCTATAATATATTCAATATTTCTAAAAATTATCTCTATTAAAAAAAACATGCTTTGAGTTTAGTTTTTTTAATTATTATTATTTCTTTTTATTACATTATCAACTAATAAAATTTTTTTTTTTATACTATCAATACAACATATTATTATAGTTCAACAATTATATTTTATTACTGTAATTATTTTTAAAGAGCAGTTTGCAGAATTGATGAAACAAGTTTTAAGAATGAGGATCTCGAAATGGTGGGTTACTGACGCTATAACAATATCGTCAACTTGCTTCCCAAAATTAAAAATAAATTTTTTTTTTTATTTACTTTTTGGCCAAATAAGTATTTGAAAATAAAACTAAAGTACTAGGGATTGATGCTGCTATAGTCAGAAATGATGTAAAGTTTGCTTGAAGTCTTGATGAATGGTAAGGATCATTTGGCCAAATTATTGAACTAAAATGAGTGCTATTTGATATAGTTCTCAATTTATACATCCAATACTAAAAATAAAAATATTTTTATTAAAATAATTTACAACTTTTGTA